GACTGAGGGTGGCATCGCAACTCCCAATCCGCCCTGCTCTGTGCATGACAGGGGGCGGCGCCCAACTCCCAATCGGCCATGCTCTGAGCCTGACCAGGGGCTGCACCTAGGGATTGGGCGTGCCCTCTGCCACCCGAGAGCAGGCTTAGCCAGCAGGTCGTTATCTCCCGAGGGGTCCCAGACTGCGAGAGGGCACAGGCCGGGCTGGGGGACGCCCCCCCCCACCCGAGTGCACAAATTTTTGTGCACCGGGCCTCTAGTATAATACTAAGCAACCATGATTACAACTTGGCTTCCATAAAGTATACCTATAGGGCAAGAAGTATTGGCCAGAAGATAAAAGCATATGTAGCCCCACTTGCAGCTTTGTTTCTCACAAAAATTAATAAATTGGCATTGATTTCATATATTAATCCCTATTCATTCGGTTAATGTGAATTTACTTGGAATTTACCACTTATGTAAATGAATTTATCCATGTTCAGTTACTGAACCTAAACTGCTGAGGTTTTACAAGACTGCCCATATTATGAAATAGCAAGCAATGCCCAATATGCTATTTTGATTAGCTAAAAAACACATTAGATGTTGTTACAAAAATATATTCCACTCCAAGAAAAGAATCATAAATATAATTTATGATTGCTAAATTAGAGAATGTTTCACTTGGCTCCTTTAGTCACATCATTCTTTCCTTCTTCACTTTGCTATTTATGGACATTAACCAGGATGATATGTATTCTTTTGGGTGTTTAAGTTTTTTAAATCCCATTGAGATTTTATTAAACATTATATGTTTAATATGGCATGAACTCAAATTTTCTATTACCATCTTCTTCCCCTAGGAACTTAGTTAAGTCATATCCATGAGACTTCACTACCTAGAAACACATTACATCCCAAACTTGTAGTATTTCTTTTTATTTTAAATAGCAATAGAGGCTATTAGAAAAAGATCTTAAACATTGGTATCAATAAATATAATCTTATTCAAAAGTTAGAAATAACTGGGGTGACCTAATTTTCTTTGGCAATATCACTATCTTTGATTATGGTTTTTATTATCCTTTTGGATCACTGAGTTATTCACTAAAAGATATGTGTCTGGTTAGAGGACAGATATTTAAAAGTAAACACATGAAAATTACTCCAAATAATGGTAGAATACTCAAATGAGTTGGCAAATAGAAATTCCTACATACTATTAAAAACACTTTGACCTGGATAGTGAATTATATATTCAGACTACATATACCAGATTAATAAATCAGACCAAAACATAAAAAAAGGAATTTAAGCTTGGAAAGTAAAACATTATTAAGAGGAAGAATTCTAAAAACTGAAGTAATATAATCATAGATAGCAAGAATTTTACCTTCAGGTCGATATTGTGCAACAATTGTGACAGCTTGGCCAGCATTTTTCAAAGCAGCTGCTGCCTGCTCATGACTGGCAGTTCTGAGGTCAACACTGTTTACCTGTTAATCAAACCAAATTTTAAATTTGAAAGAAAATGATCACATTCTTTAGAAATCACAATAGCCTATTCTTTAGAGGCATAGATAAATTTATATGCAATTATTTTATAACTAAAATATATTCTTGTTCTGATTTACTAAAATTTATCGCACAGTGAAACAAAATATTATTTTCAATCAAAGCAATTTTACTCACTGAAAATACTTTGTTTAAGTTTAAATGAGCAAAACCAAAACACTTCCCCCCAAGTGTTTTAGAAGGTTGTCTATCAATCACTTGAGAAATGTACCTTAATTTGACAACCTGAAAAATCAATATGTATCATCATTTTGTACATTTCATCTCACTAGTAATTCAAGCAATGAGGGGGGGGGGAGATATTAATTTTGTAGCATCCTTTCAACTCCTGTCATATTTTCATTCTTATTTCTCACCTCAGTTCCAATTCTCTTCATTCCTTTCCCAAATTAAAGCTTCATTTTTTTTAATTAATAGAAAAACACTTATTAAAGTAACTCAGATTTCAAGGACTAACTACATTTAAATAGAGTAAATGTTACTAAATGAGTAAGGAGACATTTTTGAATAAAGGGCCCTTCTGGGTGAAATAATTACTGAGGTGATCAATTCCATTCCAGAATAAGAAGCAACTTATTTCTGAAAGGATGGCAATACCTAATATATACTTCAAGGTATCTTAAGAGATTGTACTTTTTCCATTGTAAGAAAAATTTAACAGGACATTCATGGAGCGTTACATTCAAATGTAACAAACTTTAAATATTCAGGTAGTTTTTCCCCTCTAAAAACCAGCAACTAATAGAATGTCAGGACAGTCACTGAACATTTTTGGAAAGAAAGAAAAACCATCATACAATTTTTACATGAGAACCTGTTTGGTCAACACCTAATCTAAAACCTATTAATGATCACATACCAATTTTGGAAATTGTAGGGATCATAAAATTTACACAAAAGAACATTTTAATCATGTAAGGTGTTTTACATTATATTTAAAGGATATCATAATGCAACTATAGAACACACATATTTCTCAAGTGAAAACCAAGGTCCAAACACCTTAATCTAAACAAATATATATATAAATATATGTATTTATATATATAAATCACATAATATATAATGTGATTTTACTAGAGAATAATATCCCATTGTAATGAATATTCCACAAGTATTTTACTCTAGCTAAGGGCTATACAAAACTCAATACAATATATAAATAGTTCTACTTTGAGCATAAAGAAAATCCTCCTAATTTCTAGGAGAACAAATTAGGGAAGGAATATAAAGAAAGGTAAAATTTCACTGATTATTGTAGAGAAAAATCACAATTTTGAAATATTCCTGAGCATCAAATCCTTTTGCTATAGAAAAGAGTTGAAGACAATCTATATAGATTCAAAAAAGAATAGTTTGTTAATAAGAAAACAAGTTAAAGACTTTCTTAAATATCAACTGAACATTTTAATGGAAGATCATCAAATATACTTTAGAAAAATGCTTGTACTGAGACATTTGTGTAAATAGTCTCAGGGTCCCTTTTCTATACTACACTTAAAAAAGGAGATATAATTTACATAAAATTTATACTTGCATTTTTACCTAGAGGCCTAGTGCATGAAATTCATGCCCGGGTAGGATCCCTAGGCCTGGCCGGTGATCAGGGCAAATCGGGGCTTTTGGCCTGCGGGCCGGGGCCTCCCTTTCCTGGCTGCGGGCGGGGGCCTTCCTTCTTTTTGTCCCCCCCCCCCCCCCCCCACCGTGGCCAGTACATGTCATAGCAAGTGGTAGAACTCCCGAGGGGGCAATTTGCATATTAGCCTTTTATTATATAGGATCCTCGTCTGAGGACATGCTGAGAGAAAGAGAAGGGGGGGGCAATTAGAGACAGAGAAACAGAAACAAAGAAAGAGGGAGGGAGAGAGAAAGAAAGGGAGGGAGGAAAGTAGGGAAGGAGGGAAGAAGGAAGGGAGGGAGGGAGTGAAAGTGGGAGGGAGGGAGGGAGTGAGAGAGAGAGATGTGAGAAACGTTAATTGGTTGTCTTCCATATTTTCCCCGACTGGGCATCAAACCTGCAAACCAGGTATGTACCCTGAATGGGAATTGAACTGGCAACCTTTTGGTGCCCAGGACAAAGCTCAACCAACTGAGCCACTCTGACTGGGCTAAAATTCATACTTTTAAAGAGTAAAATTTAGTAGTATTTAGTATATTCATAAGAATGTGCAACTATCACCATGATCTAATTCCAAAACATTTTCATCACTCAAAAAAGAAATACCTATTAGCAGTCATTTCTCCCTTCCCTCTCCTCTTAGTTCCTTGCAACCACTAATCTACTTTCTGACTCTATGGATTTGTCTATTATGTACATTTTAAATAAATGGTGTACTATAATATATGACCACTTGTGCTTGGCTTCTTTCACTTAAAAATGTTTTCATGATTCATCCTTGTACCACGTATCGATACTTCTTTATTTATTATGGCTGAATAATATCCCATTGTAATGAATATTCCACAAGTATTTTACTCTTTTTAAATAGAATTTAAATACTCTTTAGATATTACTATAAATAGAATCATTTTCTTAATTTCACTTTCAGATTAGCCAATGCTGATATACAGAAATAGAACTGGATTTTGTATAGTGATTCTCTGTCCTACAAATGGCTAAATTTGTTTATTAGTTCTAATAGTTTTTTGTTGTTGGATTTCCTATGATTTTCTAAATACAAGATCATGGCATCTGCAAATAGAGATGGTTTTCCCTTTTGATTCAGAAGCCTTTTATTTCTATTTCTTGCCTACCTGCCCTATCTAGAAACTCTAGTAGTATTTTAGCATTTCCTATGATGTAAGCTATCAGTTTTTCTGAGACTTGTTATAAGGTTAAAGAAGTTCTCTTCTGTTCCTAATTTGTTTTGTGTTTTTTCTGATGTAAAGGTATTGGTGTTCAACAAGTGCTTTTTTGGTGCCTACAGATATTCATGTGGTTTATGTCCTTTATCAAAATGGTGTCTTCTTTGGTTGGATTTTGTATGCTGAACCAACCATGCATTCTTTAAAGTCCCCTTGATTATGATGCATATTTCTTATTTTGATAGTGTATAATTCTTTTTTATTCTGCTGGATCTTTTGCTATTTTGTTGAGGATTCTAATATCTTTATACATAAAGGATTCTGGTTTGTAGTTTTCTCTTCTTGTGCTGTCCTTGTTTGGTTTGACATAAGAATAACACTGGCCTTGTAGAATGAGTTGGGAAGTGATCTTCATGTCTACTCCTTTTGGGGAAGAGTTAATTCTTCTCTAAATTTTTGGTAGACTACAGCAGTGAGGCCATTTGATCCTGGGTTTTTTCCTTTGTGGAAAGTTTTGATTAATTCAATCTCCTTAATTATTTAGGTCTATTTAGATTTTATATTTCTTCTTGAGCTAGTTTCAACAGTTTATGTCTTTCTAGAAAGTTACCAACAATTATATAACACATACAACTATATACCATATATAATCTATATAACACATATTATAAAATGTCCTTTACCTTTAGTAACAATTTTTGAGTTAAAGTTTACTTTGTCTGATATTAGGATAGCCACTTTAGGTGTTTCTTGGTTACTGCTTGCACGGTCTCTTTTCCAACCTTTTCAATTTCTGCTGAAAGTAAATAGCTTTTATTTAAAAAAAAAATAAAAATCTAGAATATGTCCCTTGTAGAAAAGTTACAGTTGGACCTTGTTTTTCAATCTACCCTGTCAATATCTTGTGTTTTAATCCTCATATGTGGATATTTTTCCCATTAATTTTTAGAGAGTGAAAAGGAAGAGAGGAGAGAGGGACAGAGGAAGTGAGAGAAAGAAAGAGCAAGAGAGAAACATCAATATGAGAGAGACATCAATGGTTGCCTCTCCCACATCCAGGGATTGAATTTGCAACGGAGGTAGGAGCCCCTGACCAGGAATTGAACTTGCAACCCTTCGGTTCGTGGGCCAATACTCCAACCACTGAGCCACATCGGCCAGGGCATATTCTGTGTTTAATCCATTTACATTCAGTGTAATTAAAAAAGTAAGATTTATATCTCATCCATTTTGCTATTTGCTTTATGCCTTATGTCTTTTTTGTTCCTCTATTCCTTTATTACTACCTTTTGTTAAATAGATGTTTTCTAGTGTATCATTTTACTAGTAATTCCCTGGTCATTTTAAAATTATGCATATTTTGAGTTATTTTCTTAGTGATTTCTCTAAAATAACATCTTATAAAATAATCTACTTTGGATTAATACTAACTTAATTTCAATAGTATAGAAAAACTGCTCTAACTGTGCCCTCTACCCCTTTGTGACACCAGTATCATATTTATATGAAACCTTTGTACAATGTGTGCCTATCAACACAGATTTAAAATTGTTTTATCCAGTTGTCTTTTAATCAGATGGAAGAAAAAAGTCAAAAAACATTCACTGATGCTGTTTTATATTTACTTATGTAGTAACTTCTAAAGATGTTCTTTATTTCTTCACATGGATTTGGGTTACTCTCTAGTGTCCTTTTATTTTAGTCTGAAGGAATTCTTCATAGTATTTCTTGTAGGGAAAGTTTACTAGAGATTAACTTCCTCAGCTTTTGTTTATCTTGGAATATCTTATTTGTTCTTCGTTTCTGAAGGATAGTTTGGCTGGATATAGAATTCTTGATAAACAGTCTTTACCTTTAAAAACGTTGAATATGTCATCCCATTGCTTGTGGGCTTTGGCCATTATTTTCATTGTTTTTGACAAGAAATCACTTGTTCATCTTATTGAGGCTTCCTTGTATGGGCATCATTTCTCCCTTTCTGCTTTTAAGATTCTTTCTTTTGTTTTCTGACAGTCTGATTTTGATGGGTCTATGGTGTGGATTTCTTTAAGTTTATTCTAACTGGAACTTTTACCAAGCTTCTCAGATATGTAAAAATTAAAAAAATAAAATAAAA